GTCAAACTCAAATAGATTGATTCAAGGCTGTGCGCTTTATTTTTGTGAGACTGTGAGGCTGTAATCCGTCATCTTTCCCATATAATTCTATGTTGTAATCCGATGTTGATATTTTTTGGATTAACCATACAATCATGACCTCCCGGCAAAATAATAATCCATAAGGACAAGTGGCAATCCAAGTCTATAAATCTAAATTGAAAGTGGAATGCTCGGCATTAATAAGCGAAGTCCGAGACAAAGTAACTCATGAGCCAAAATACTCCAAAATCCACTCGGGGGACCACGTTTTCTCCTAATGGAGTACGCCGGAAGCCGAGATTTAACCGTCCTTGAAATCCGTTACTGTTGACCACATCGGCCTCGCTATCTTGTTTCCCAATTAGGATACTGATGTGTATCTACTTTTCCAGCAATCATCATCGGCCGATGTACTGGGCTAGTGCGACCGACGCCCCATTTTTTTACATTCGGTCTGTGGGACGCCTCGTTTCCAGACTACAGTGCTTGGCTTTGCTTGGGGTCCGGACCTCCGGTGCATAAATCAGGGATAAAATGTGCCATACATGTGCTCTGTATACGAATACTAGGTGCTCCGTATGTATGCGCCAATATACTACCCCAGCTAGGTATGCATGTACAAAAACGTCCGGTCTCCGTAGAGCTACTCTTATCGTGAAACGATCGTCTACGCCTGGCGCTCTACTAATGCAACAAGATCTGTGCCTTAATTTTAATCCTTCGCCCACTACGGAGTAAGTTAAACTGGAGCACCATTCCTTTCGTCCGTGCGGTGCTTAGTGCTTGTTAACGTTGTTTATTTTGCTCTCTAGTTCCTCTAGTGCCTAAATCCTAGTTCCTTTGATGTTCAGCCCTGTCCGCGAATATCCGTTCGAAGTATGGAGTAAGCGTACGTACCCTGTGTTCAGACTGGTGTCATCTTGTTTCGATATCACATAATAATGTCCTGTCTCATACTTGGTATGAGGGCACTGGACTTGGAATTAATGATTTTTCCAGCTCCTAGCATTCCTTCGGATTCTTAGCGTTACGCTTTGTTCTGGATTCTTCGGCTGGTTGTCTAGGATGATCACATGGCTGAGTCGTAGGACAAGGGTCGGCAATATGTAAAAAAGAATAAATCACTATAATCCAATCACCATCTTCTTTCTCGGCCGATTATCCGATAATTTGTCTTGAGCTCTGGTCACAATTTAAAATTAGAATCTCGGGCTAGCAAACAAGATAGGCAAAATCGGCATAGAAAGGTGGGTTAAATCAATAAGCTCCACGGAATATATACTCCGTATAGCTTCTAGTTCTTATGATCCGACGGTTTACGGAGTATTTAAATCAAACTTAATTGCTAGTTTTCCCCCCTTTCTTTCCCTTGTTTTGTGAGTCACAGAGGAACCACGGCCGTAAATATAGTATATATTCTTCTCGGGGTAACTTTGGGGGCCCAAAAATTGTGCAATAGTTAAAGGAGAATTGACATACAAAGTAAGCTGAGCCGGGCACTACCGGTTAGTACCTGCAAGCTCATTTTTTTAGCTTCAGGTGGTAAGAGACTTGTATTCTCGCTAGTCAGATTTGGATCTATAGTGCGACGGAGGCTCCGTAATGCGGATGTCTGCGGATAAGTGCCCCCCTTCTTTATCTTATTCGGGAATGAATCGGCGACTTTATTCCTGGCGCCGTTTGTCGATATACTCGTTGATTCCCCGTTTATATCTCGTATGTTGTATATTTAATCTTAATATACGAAGTAGCAAATCCAGGCCCAGTTATGGGTTACACGGTGGATCAACTCATGTCGCTTTAGGTTGGGAGTTTTCAAAATTCTCTCTTATCTATTTAGTTTTCATGCATACCTACATATACATATATATTACAGATCTATCATACACTAGCCAAATGATACCTCTGATAAGTCTCAGCAATCAGCACGACCGAAGTATCGCGGAAAAGATACAATATCCCGAACGCTGGAGACACCAGTCAAATATCCTAGGAATCGATCGAATCCGAGCCCAAAGCCTCCATGAGGAGCAGAGCCCCAACGTCGGAGGTCAGCATACCATTGGAGGTGGCCCAGGTCTTCGTCGGGGGTGAGATGAGGATATAGCGACTCGCCTGAAGCTGGATCACCAGACTCGGGAATCTGTCGGGGCTTGATGAGACCATGCTCACGCATGTTCTGGATGAGATCGGGCAGGCGATGCTCGCGCAGGGAGCCCCCAGCGACTTCGCTGACTTCAGGTAGGAGCAGATCGAAACATGCCACTGTCTCTCCGGGTGTGTTGCTGCCATCGGGGACCTGTGAAGGGGCCATGTAGAATGGCTTGACGGATTTAGGGTAGTCCGTCACGAAGACAGGACGCCCTTGATGGAGCACCTCGACGATATACTTTTCATGCTCAAGTTGTAGACCTCCATCCCATGTCGGGGGGTGCTCAAATGATGCTCCGTCTTCGGCAACAGCACGCTGGAGCATCTCCACTGCTTGGGTGTATGTGACGCGATGCCATTTTGGCCCATCCATTAGATCGATCCATCTTTGCCGTAGAGATCCCGTCTCCTCGGCGCTGGATTCCTGGCCTGGCTCGCCAGACCGCTTTGCCGACAAGATCTCTTGGCCCACAGTCGTATTATATAGACGACGCGTCAGATCGCGTAGCAGATGTTCCACTAAGCCAGTAAGCGAGTCAAGATCGGACATGAAATTGACCTCGGCTTCGAGCATGTAGAATTCACTGAGGTGGCGCGGTGTATCACTCTTCTCCGCTCGGAACACGGGTGTCAATGTCCAGACATTGCCCAGCTCCGCCGCATAAGCTTCAAGGTGAAGTTGCGAAGAAACGGTGAGGTATTTTGGCGCTCGGAAGAAATGCTCGTTCTCGGTGCTAGGTGTAGCGGCACCGCGTGGTGCCAATGTGAACGTCTCACCCGCGCCTTCACAATCCGAGGATGTTATAAGGGGAGGCTGAACTTGTGTAAAAGCTCCGTCCGGATGAGAGTGGAAGACATTGCCAAGTTGGAACATGCACTCGGATCGAAAGCGCGAAAGGAGAGAATTGAATGGTGTTCGAATGCGGAGGTGTGGGATCTGGCGCAGGAAGTCGGGGCTGTGGTACTTCTTCTGGATTGGAAACGTCTGCAATCATAAAAATCTTGGTTAGTATGAGGTCTGACGACAGCTGGGGGAAAGCTCTTAGGCTCACCTCTGGGTCCGATGCGCCCACAACCTTGACATCGGTTGTTTGGAGCTCATGACTTTGCTCTTTACCCGGTGGGCAAGCCTTCCATATGCCCGATATTTCGATCGCAGTTCCGGTTGAAAGACTATAGAAAAAGGCGCTCGAGTTAGTCTTGATTGACAAACAGGTCGAAGATCACAGCTCGCTCGCGGTCGAACGTACTCTGCTGCCTGCGCGGGTTTCAGAATTGCCTGTAGCGGCTCCACGGTAGAGCCATCAGATATTTCTGCGAACGCAAAGCGTTTCTGTTTCCGTACAGACCGAATGAAACCATTCACTTTGATTTCTTGGTCCTCGAAGCTGCTGACTCCACCATTCTTGCTGGCTTGGAGGATCTGCGCGCATCGCACAATAGAGGGACGGGAATTAATTGAGCTATGAGTAAGTCTTCCCACGGACGTGGCGAAGCTTCGCCGCCATATCTGCATTGCTGAAGGTGCTGTGAGTTGGATGATCGGGGAGTTCGGAGATTGCGGCCAGAAAACTTATCGGCGTTGATGTCGGTCCGATTAGCATTCTCCCGAGGTCAATGTTACCGTTCAGGTAAACATTGTTGGCACAGCAAAAATCACTACTAACACAGTTGATTAGCTGGCTTAGGGGTAGTAGGTCAGGGATTTAGAACGATTACTGTAGTTTTCTAGGAAAATACTGTACCCATTTTCAATTGAAAAGAAAAGGGGGGGAATATATATACATCACTATCCATTGCGCTTTGCATATAGATTGGAAAGTGTTGCTATCCTTGAACGTATAACTGACCTTTAAGCTATGATAGTATAAGACAGATGACTGAAATACGGTTGGAGCATCGTGGTCTTCTACACCGACGTTGACTGCCCTTGTCGAGGAGCATCTCGATCATAGCGCTATATCCGTTGTTGGCAGCCATGCTTATCTTTCGAGCCGACATCGGACATCCCCTGTTGGGGAACATCATCAGTATAGCCTCGTTATTTCCACTGAAGACCCCGATGCTACTGGCGGGACTATATCGCCTAAAACTGCCTGCACACAAGCCTGCGGCAACGGGGCTGGATCTAGGTCATACTTGTAAGCATCAAGGGAAGAAGGAAAACATCCGAAATAAAACAGAAGGCACTCTCATGTCATTGGCCGTGTGCTTGATACATTTAATCACCGATGCACCTGCGACAAGAAAAGCATACGTATTGCTCACACTAAATATCCGCGTTAAAACCCACCTCCGTAGACAAGAAGGCCAAATTTTGGGGAAGTTTCGGATACTAAGCTCCACAAGAATAGAAAACGCCATATCTGGGTCCTCCTAGTCGCCATCAGCTGCCCCTCATTTCCTCCTTACTATTCTGTTCTTGTTGCTGCCGGAGTTGCTGAAGCTGCTCCTCAAGGTCCGCAGCTTGGGCCGGAGGGGGACGAGCTGGCCAATCCGGTTGGAAATTCTATATTATTACTAGCAAGTGCCCATTTATAATGCGTAAGCCTATCATACCTATATGGTGGCATCTGCGATTTAGGTTTGATGAAGAAATATTGAAGACACGGGAATGTTTCTGAGATAATCAATAATTGTTTTAATCCTAATAAAATTTTAAGTTTAGGAATACCAGTTATTGATAAATATATACGTTTTCTTCGATGAGAATTAGAACAATAATTATTGCTTTACTATGTTTGCCTCATATTCGATGGTAACACACCCCCAATTCGTCTGTTCTAGGAATATACAAAACTTCCAACTATAGACAAATGAAGTATGATCTAAGCATCAGAGCCGGCGTTTTGATAAGTGTCCCTCAGTTCTTCCAGCTTGTGAGACTGAAGGAAGTTCTTGAACGTGGTGGGGGTAGCCTCAGGATATTTGGTGTTGTCCAAATCCTTCTTCAAGTAGGTCTGGCCATTTATGCAATAGTATTGGTAAAACCTGGCTACAATTAGTAAACGATACATACCGAGACCAAGATAAGCAGATGAACTTACATGGCGAGGTAGGCAAATATGTTTGAGGGATCCTGTTTGAAGGTTGCCTGCATCGTGCTGTATAGGTCGTCTAGAGATCCCAGGCACTCAAGTTGAGGTTTCTTCCCATATACCTCGCCAAAGTCGTCTGCAATCTCCCGGATGGTTCTCCGATCGCCAAGGACTATATTAGAGCGATCCTCAGTTAGCACAATCTTCTAATTTCTGCGTAAAATTTATTCGTTCACTCACAGTGCTGCAGGCCGATGGCACTTGGATCTTTCGCCACCGCGGCCACATACTTGGCAGCGGTGTCATATGTTGTGGATTCCCAGACCTCATCTCCACTCCCATAGAATGAAAATTTGTACTCATCCGGATTCCAGATACCAAAGTATCCACTCCAGAAAGTTTCCATGAATGCCCCGATCAGGACATGAACGCCTCGAACGTTCTTCTTACCGTCCAAGTGTGCCTTAACGTACTTCATAGGATCCTTTGCAGGATGCTGACCGTATTCCAGCTTCGTGAAATCTAGACAGTAGCCGCTAGCGATGTAGCGGTCGACCGTTTCTAGGTCACAGGCATCGACGAGCAATTTCTGACCGTTGATCATGAAATCATTGTCTCCGAGGTAACAGCAGATTACAACATCGCAACCGCGCGCGAAAGTACGCAGGATTTCAATGTTGTTCGAGTCGCCTTGGACAATAGTCAGGCGAGGCGAGTCACGGAAACGCTCGGGAAGTTTGGATGCATTGCGGCAGAGTCCGCGGATTTGGACATCGGGTGAATTCAATAGATACTTCACAACCAAACGAGCAAATTTGCCCGTGATCCCAGCAATGCCGACTGTAGTTGCCATGTTGTCTTGGGATCTTTAGGAACACAAATTTCAGATTGAATCTCAATGATATTTGGGTGTATTGAGAGTGAGTTTGAAGGGGAATGAGAAAAGGAAGATTAACTTGGGCGAGATCAAGAATTAAATAAGTTTGCATACTGGCTATGTTTCTACAATGTGTTGTCGTTGGATGATAGCATAACCCTCCAGGGCTATCAACCCCGACGAATCATAGATCTGACAAGTGGGGCTCTGACTGGTCTTGGCAGTTTTATAGCCAATAGGAGATACGGTACACTCTACTCCGTACCCACTGTACCCCACACGTATACAACATACTAAACTGCCTATACATTCATGGGTTTCGATCTTAGCCCTGGAATGCCGATTCTTCCGACCCATCACCCTGAAGATAGTCAGCATACGAATATATCGGGAAGCAATTTGTCCCGGTGAGACAATTCAATGGTTGCAGCTTCTAGGGATCCCACGGAATGACATAAGTGCGACTGGGGAGCGATAAGTATAAATTGCGAGGACCATAGGATACAATTCACTATTCTCTCAACCATTCTACTACTCTCACAATCATTCTACCATTCTCTCAATCATTTTACTATCCTTTCAACCACTTTGTCATTCTTCAACATGGTCGCCACATTTATCGATATCAATCCCCGGACGCCACTATTGAAGCAACTGGAGGAGGCACCGGAAGCGGGCTACTGTGTGCTTGTCAACACGTTCCATATTCCAGCTGGCAAGATGGATGAAGCGTTTGCTGCGTGGAAGATTGATGCCGAAATGGCAAAGCGGCAGCCGGGATTTATTTCCACCCAACTTCATCGCGGTGTCAATGGAAGCGACATGATGCTGAACTATACGATCTGGGAGTCTACCGCCGCGTTGAAGGCCTACTACGATCTACCCGAGTTCAAAGAGTCTCTCAAGAACTACCCAGATGGAACTGAGAGTCGAATTGTCCTCTACCGCAAACAACACATTGGCGGTATTTGTCTTTCCTAGGCAGACATCTGGGCAAGATCACAAACGCTGAGCGAGTCATCAGTTGGTCCTTCTGTAAACCAAGCACTACACATAGTTGCAACTGGTTGGGATGTTTGTCTAGTCAAGGGATACCTTTTTTTTGTCGTCACCTTCATCTGAGATTTGGCGCCGAAATGACATGGAGGATTCTTGCGGCAAAGGAAATAAATCTCGTTTTTTTCTTTCTGTGTTTGTATTTACTGTTGAGACAGTCGGCTGCTTTGGTACCTGGTTTGTCAGGCTTCACCTAGCTATTCAACTATAGACCTAGCTTCCTGTTGTAGAGAATCAATCCTTCTTCTCTCCTCCCTTTGCTCCTTAGTGGTCAGATCAGTTGCTTTATGATTTCCGATTAGCATTGCGTATAGTTAGATTTAGGAAACCGGTTTTTTTGTCGTTTGAATTCTACAATGAAAGATAGACAAGAGTGCTTCGAATTCCTATGTATGTTGTATGTTGAAGAATGGTGCCACTCAAGGGAGCTTACCTAAAATTATGCCTCAGGCACCTAAGTCGTTTATTAAGGTGAATCCGCACTTCCGATCATTACCCAGAGGCCGTCTTTAACCTTCCAATTAAGCCTACAAGCTAGCGTAATTGATCTAATATTTCCGGGCTTATATTGATCATGCAATACGATGAATCGAGATCGGGACGTAACTCCCACATTCCAGCAGTATGTGAAAAGCCATTGTTACCCAAATGAGACCTAATGTTCGTGTAGTGTCTTGAATGTCGAACTCGTAAAGCCAAGGTTGTGGAGGTGGACCCTTGGAGAAAGGTTGAGGCTTATTAACGTCATCCTAGTGTTCAAAAACACAACCGTGTGGGCCATGTGCACGTAATGATTGAGAACGTATATACCCATCAAAAGTTCATCGGACCCTCTTGACACGCGAGTCAGTTCAACTTGAGATTGATATCCGGATCGTCCCGAGAAATAATCACTAATATCTATATATAGGCATCTCACCGCGGTCGAAACCCGGCTTCAGTTGCTTGAATCTACACTCGGAAAGCTGTTTCCAAGTGGAGAGATGGAAGCCATCACTCGCGCCTTGCTTGTTGATGATGTTCTAAAAGATCAAACTTCTTACCCCAACACTGCTATCCAAGTTCCTGTAGATTCATCGCTGGAATCGGACCCTATGATCTGGGACGATGCATTTCTTGTCAATCAGTCCCCGCCTCGAGATACAAGCCCTGATATTCAAACGGGTTCTGTAACTCGAGAACAAACCGTGGCATTTGACTCGTTCTGGGCAGATATTTCCCTCCCTTCTGATTTGGTGGCCACTGCCAATGAAGAAGTTGAGTTTCTTGACAATTACTTTCTCCATTATCATACCCTTTACCCAATCCTGCACGAGTGGCAATTTAGGTCGGAGTTCAAGAATCAGATTTAAACGTCACGTCACTGGCAGATTTTGTCAAATATAGTATTAGCAATTGGGGCATGGCTTACTCCTGATGCTCGGGATGGTTTGGACAAGAATTATTTTACCAGGGCGCGAGATAGTCTCCAACAGGTGCCTTTCACAGAAAGAGGCAACATAACTCTTGTTCAGAGTGCAGTCCTCCTCAGTGAATTTTCTCAGAAACAGGCGAGCCCCGAAGAAAGTGGGAATTATATAGGGATTGCTGTCCGGATGGCCGTTTTTCTTAACCTACACACGAAGCTCGCGGGTCCCCAATTTACGGAGCTTGAGAAAGAGATTCGACGAAGAGTGTGGTGGAGTGTTTACTGTGCCGAGAGCTGCTCTGCAAAAATATATGGACGGCCACTTTTGCTACCAGAAGAGATGCTTATTACTGTTGAGCTGGTATCAAACATTCATGAAAGCGTTGGTTCCCCCAAATCTCGCCCTTTGTCACTAGCTAAAAGAGAACCTCATAGGCCCTTACATCCTCTAGTACAAAGTTCCCTGAAAAGACCGACGGCCCGACTGTATACTCTGGTTTGATCATACAGTCCAGTTATCATACCATGGCAAACAAAATTTACCGACGTCTCCTGTCAACACCTTCGATTACACCACAAGATGTGCTTGAAGTCGATCAAATGATCAATGCATGGCATAGCGATTCATCCTTCTGTACACAGTTGATCGACCCTTTATCAGCACCTGAATGGCATCTGACGGCCCGGCGCCGTCAAATATTATGCGATCAAAGTCTTCGACAACTCATACATAGACCATTACTTTTGAAATGGTTCAAAAAAAAGTCCAAGGAAACCGAACAGCCACCTGAAGCGCACTCGGCAGAATCTCGCTGTCGTGCACAGGGCCTGAACGTTGCTCGAAACACAATCGGACTGATATCAGAATCTATTACCAATGGTTGTTACTCCAGGTTGACCCTTTCGTTCACATTGTGAGAATCTACCAACTGTTACTTCTTTCTATTTGTACATTTCGCTAATATGTCACCACTACATAGGTATGCCTTCTTCCACGCTCTTATTACCCCTCTTATCCACTTAAAAGCAGACCCTTCCTCCCCAGAATCAATATCCTGCATCGAAGATATCAAAAAAGCTGAATTGACTCTAAAACAAATTTCCGTTGAACGAGACGACCTATCACAATACTTTCTGCTTGTCTTACGACGCCTATTCATGGTGGCATCTCAGGCGAATGGCGGGGAGAGCCAAACAAATTCCGGTGATATCAAAAAGATGGTCAAGCCTCTTGATGTGCAGTCGGTTCCGAATAGCATTTTCGGCAATGAGGATTTGACTTTGTTGGACGACGAAGCCCTCGAGCCCTCTTCCGGGCTCAATTTTTCTGAATGGGTCAACTCATAAATGAAACTCGCCGATGGAAGGGTGAAAAGGATCTCATACATCGCTATTATGAAAGTAATAAGAGTTTTCATACATAACCAAAGTTAATAATGAAAATGGAAATGAAAATGAAAATGAAAACACTATGATCACGTGGATATTAAACAAAACTAATACAGGAAAGGCCACATAAAGATATGGATATATTATCACTGTATGGTGGTATGGTTATATTGTTTGGGGATTCGAAACATCCATCGATAATTGGTTCAGCAAGGAAGTCATTAAAATAAAGAGTGGGATTTCGACACTACCGAAAGAATATGACGCCACAACAGTTCCAGTCAAGCTAAACTGCAGCTAAAGGAATGACTGGGTCATTGAATGACCCTGAAACAAAAAAGCAAGCAAATATTCCATGCCTCACTGCGAAGGCCGTCGTTCATAGATCGATCTTTCCTCTTCAATCATATCAATCGCATCCATGAGGTCACCATTTGCCATAGCCGCATACACAGCCATCCTCGACCGTCCGCCCTCCTGTCCAGCGCCGTAGCCCATGTCGACAAGGGCAGAGACACATCGTTCGACTGCCGCATCATCAGACTCAGAAACACTGGTATCAAGAGCACTAGGAAGCTCGGCCCTCGTTGCATCTTCCACCGGGAAGCTTCCGGGAATCTGCTCGTGGGAAGAAGCACCATTCCGTTCTCTCCTAGACAGACGCGCCCATGTGTCTGTTTCTGTAGAACCATGCGATCTATCACCAAGATGACGCATACTTGCAGAATGCTTGAGGGAATTTTGACGGTCAGTCTCAGTAGCGTGTCGATGATTTGGTTTATGATTTTTGTGCTCAGTGGCTCGACGCTTCAATTTGGCCGCATTCTGGGGGCTACTGAGATTCACCATTGGTCGCGCAGGTTCTTTGGCATGTCCAGCATCGATGACCGATGATGGATTGGCGACTGCATCTAGACGAGAAGCTGGTTGAGATCGACCAAGCGCCTTCGGTGCAGGATGCAAGGGTAAACTGTGAGTGGAAGGTCCTTTAGGGTACTTTGGGTCGCCAGCTGTAGGTTCTGTTCCACGGCGTTCCTGCCGATTTGCAAGAAGTTGGGCCTCCCATTGAGACACAGGTGGGAAACGAGACTCCGTGTGCGAATACAAGGAAACACCCCGACCGCTCAATGGTGCCTTATGCTGTGCGCTCGTCTCGGGTAAAAGCGACGGAAAACGTGCGCTGAATGCAGGATCATCGCTGGGAGAGTCAAGTAGTGCGGAAGATTCCGTCTGAGCTTGAACATGATCAACATCTTGCGTGAGGTCTACGAAACTGACAGACTTTCTCCGATTATCTGTTTTGCTAGGCTGGGATGGACTCTTTTGAGACTTGACAGCAAGCGGGGACGCAAAGGGTCCCGATGTGGTACTGTTTAGTTCAGAGGGAGCATTGTTTACAACGCTCATCTCAGCCTGAGAAAGATCTGCCTGAGTATCGTGGGTGGTTGTACTGGTATTGGGTGAAAACTGCGCCGGACGCACACTTTCGATGGGGGGATGATACATAGGCTCAAGGTTTATCGAGTGGCCGTCAATGACAGCACCTTGCAATGCTTCCATTGCAGCAAAAGCCGGATAGTCCGAGGGGAAATGAACGTAGCCAAAGCCTGCATGTCTTCCCGATGCGGCCTCTAGCGGGAGATCCACCTTGACTAGGAATCCCTTGGCAGCAAACACGTCCTGTATCATCTTGTCGGTGACCTTGAAACCAACATTCCCAATGAACAAGGATTTAGTTGCTGGATTGTTTTTCGACTCTCCAGACTTGATTTGTGATGCGTGTGTAGCATTCAACGGGGCATTGAACGCAGGAGGAGGCCGAGGTGCAGGCGCAGGCGGTCCTTGCGGCCAGTAAGTGAAATTCGACATCGATGTCGGTGGCAGAGGAGGACAGGGAGGCGGGGGAGCATGATATGTTTGGAATGGATTCCAGAATGGAGCAGGCCACGAAGGAGGTGCCCAATGATTTGATTGAAGTGGTATGGGTTGACCATGGTGACTTTGGATGGGGGGTACCCCTGCTTGTGCAGTATGAGATGGGTTGAATTGGCCTGGGGCTGCTGTTGATTTCTCGTTTGTGGCTGTGCTTGAAGTATTTGCGCTTGATTTCGGGGGATACATATTGCCCGGAGCCGTAGATCCATTGTTTGTAGCAGTGTTAAAGAATGGCCCGGATGGTCCAGGGTTTGGCACCTCGGAAGTCGAGGTCGACGTAGAGGCCGTTGATGCAGCGCGCCCAAACTCGCTTTCAAATGCGGCAAATAATGTTCTTCCGACCTCGTTGAGTTCGGAGGCCATCATACGAAAACCATCAGCGGCATTCTCAGCGACAGGCCTTCCTGCTTGGAAGGCATCCTCTGCCATTTGTCTTCCTCCATCTGGGAGATTATTAAACGCCGTTCTTAGGTGAGCTTCAACGGTGGCGAGTAGTGTCCGCAATGACGCTTCCACGTTCTCAGGTAGGGATCTCTGTGCGGTCTCAAATTGTCTCTGAGCGTTCTGTAGTTGTCGCTGTAGCTCAGGAATTTTTGATCTCCATTCAGATTGTACCATAGTAGCCCCATGAATCAACTGGTCTAGGACCTGTGTCGCTAGAATCTCAACGGGATGAGGAGATCGCCCTGAGTTTGTGTTGGCTGATGGCTCAGTAGTCGGTGGTGAGTTAGGTTCAGGTACTCGACTCTCCGAGGGCTCAGCAGTATTGAGCATCTCTGCTAGCTCGGCCTCAAATGCCTCCATAAGAGGCCGAGGCTGGTCCGCAGAGACCGATGGCGAGGTAGTGATGTGAGGAACCGGGACTTCATGTTGCTCTTCGAGGACAATAGCCTTAGAAGTAGCTTGTGTGCCGTTCTGCTTACCGGCCGAGTCTTGTTTCGGAACGTTGTGTTCAAATCGCTTCCACAACTCGGTCACGGAGTTTGATCGGCGAATATCAAATATGTGCATCGGACTGATGTCACCGAGAGAATGTTCGACAGGGTCAAGCTGTGTATTAGTGTCTAGGGGCTCCTCAAGGCGCTGGGAGAGCTCAAGAGCGGATCCAACCTAAAAGAAGGGTGAGATTTTGATGATAGAGAGCCGGCAGACTGTTATGAACTTACGGTGATTGTTTCGTCATCATCATCATCGTCATCCATATAAGTCAACCTAGCCCGGGGATGGTTTGAGGCTAAATCATCGTAATCTGTGGCAGAGATCTGGACCACTCCTGCAGGTGCACGAGAATCCGCAACCTGCTCGGGTTCTTGCTGAGTGGATACCTGAAGGTTTCTGATTTGGAAGGGCTTCAACATCGTGGAGATGCCGTGTGAGGCCTGCGGATCAGGAACACGAACAGGTGGGGCGGTGTTACAGAATCGAAAACAACAAAACGATAAACTAGAGTTGATAGAGTCGATAAAGATATGAAATGGTTTGAAATTATGATGCCTTTGGGGCTTAGGAGACGGGGGTTGTATAAACGGGGGGAAAAATCACGAGTTTCATATGTTGCTGCCTGTGGCAACACTTTCAAATTTTCAAGTTCGAATCTTCCAAATGCAAGGATATGGGGGCAATAAATTCAGAAAATTTAGATGATTCAAGAAATTCAAGAAATTCAAGAAAAGTACATGGAGGTTTCAGGCAACAGGATAAAGACAGAGAGTGAGACCGCATGAGAGCATGAGAGCATGATGAAGCTCTCCGCTCCGATCACGTGCCACTGACTTTTCGCCTGGGATTCAAGGCGTCGACTCTGTTAGTTAACTGACACTTGAATGGATTCAATGGACAATGAATAATACTAATTGAGAATTATGTCCACATAACATCTCTCAATGCCTGCACGACCGTGTCCACTCTTTTCATCTACCTACAGCTCTCCTTTCTACGATAATACCAATGGCTGGTCCATTGGAGACAGTACATCGCATGAACGCCCCCGAAACCTAGCATTCCGACAACTTCGATATCACGTCGCGCCACTCCAATCTCCATAGAAATCAATGGCGACCCCGAAATCTGCACCATTGCAGACTCCAGCCAATCGCAACGTGAACAATGTCGTATTAGGCGATCTCTCGTTCAAGCCATGGAACCAATCCATCTATCCTGAAGACCTCGTCGCCAAGGACGCCGATCGACTCTACGTCTGTCGCTGGTGCTTTCGATACTCATGTGATGTGGATATCTTTGAGGAACACAAACGCGCCTGCGAGCATCGTATAACCCCACCAGGCACGAAAGTCTACGACCATGGCGGGTATGCAGTGTGGGAGGTTGATGGGCAAAACCACAAACTTTTCGGACAGAATCTGTCCCTTTTCGCGAAACTCTTCCTCAACCACAAGACAGTCTTTTTTGATGTCGCAACTTTCCTGTACTACATCCTCACTTTCACCGACCCGGACGACTCCGACAGTTACTACGTGCTCGGTTTCTTTTCAAAGGAGAAACTCTCATGGGACGCGAACAATCTTGCCTGTATTCTGATCTTCCCGCCTTATCAACACAAGCAACTTGGAAAGCTGTTGATGGGGGTCAGCTACAAGCTCAGCGGATGGGACTCCAATGGTGGGTGCATTGGTGGACCAGAGAAACCACTAAGTGAGCTGGGCCAGAAAAGCTATGTCCGTTTTTGGGCCGAACGGGTTGCCCGATTCCTACTCCGCGGCAAACCCAGCGACAGCTCCATTGAAACCGACCAGCAGAAGCCTAGCTCAACCCCGAAAGGCTCCCGCAAGAGACCCTTGCGCGAGACCATTACCGTTGAAGAACTCGGCCTGGGAACTGGTATGTTGACTGAGGACGTGATCACTGCACTCAAAAGCATGGGGCTTTTTGAACCCCAGGCGACCCCGAAAAAACGTAAATCTACCCGTACAGCTGCGGAGGACATTACTACACCACCAGGTCAAATGGCCACCATTTGCAAATCTGATGTGTGGGAGTGGGCTCAAGCACATCATCTCTCCCTGGACGACCCAGTCAGGGAAGAAGGCTTTGATGGACTTTGGCCCCCCGAGATTGTACCTGATGGGGATGGCCACAGCGTCACCTCAGAAGAAGACTGATTCTCCCAACGAGACAGATTCCAAGTTTATGTACGATAGCGCTGATTACTGTATTTCCCTTTAATGACGACAATGAGAAGCAACGTGAAGTTTGTGCATTTTTGAATAGATTGGCTCTTGGCCCCTAACTTTGTGAGGGAATCAAGTCTTTAACCCTTTTAAACTTTACATGAACCGCCTGACTTCGTAAATGAGAAAGTGCATTACTCTTCCTGACCACCGGGGCCACCGGCACCGGCTTTGCTCATCTGCCGAGCCTTCAGTAGCTCATCGCACAGAAGCAGGTTAGACGCGATGCCCGTGCTGGAAGCGATGCAGTTGCGCAGAACTCGGAAGGAATCGAAGACACCCTCTTGGATGGGATCCATGGGTTCGCCAGTGACCAGATCCAAGCCGACAGTGTTACCATCAGTTGCCTCATCGTGAAGAGCGGCCAGCGAATCCTGAATGTCGTGGCCAGAGTTGGCAGCAAGAGTTTTAGGGATGATCAGAAGGGCATCAGCGAACGCACCAACACCCCACTTGGCCTTACCCTTGACGGTCTTGGTGAAGGCCTGGGACTGCAGGTGTACGGCACATGCAACTTGGAATGCACCAGCTCCGGGAATGACACAGCCGTCGACAATAGTGTTGTAAACAGAGCGCAAACCATCACGAACGGCATCCTTAACCTGGGTGATGGTGTGTCCATTAGGACCCTTAATGAGGATAGTCACAGACTTAGGATCCTTGACCTCTTCAACAAAAGTGAACTTCTCCTCGCCAAGCTGGTGCTCGTAGACCAGACCAGCCCACCCAAGAACCTCCGGAGACAAATCCTCAACACTGTTCTGGGCAGTTCCACCACAGACTAGCTGCAGACGCTCCATGTTTCTGCGCTTAGCTCTGCGCAGAGCGAAAATGCCGTTCTTGACAAGAACATCCAAGCTGAGGGGATCGATACCCTTCTGGTTGATGACAACGAATCCCTTGTTGGGGTCGTTTCCACAAACCTCCTTCTTGAGGTCCACAATCTTCTGCAGCTTCGCATCCACAAACTTGCGCTCACTCTCAACCAGCTTATCTCTCTGCTCTGCGTTGGAGTAGTAGAATCCGGAGTTAATTTCAGACTTCTCGTACTCCAGACTGACGTTCAATGTCAGAATGAAAGCGTTTTCCACCCGCTTGGGCATGTCAGGGTGTCTGGCACCGTGGTCCAAGGCAAGACCACGAATAAGCTGGGTATCCGATGATGACCGGTGCTGCATCGTCATAATCTCAACCATGTGCAAATCGGGCTTCTCAGGGGCTCTGTGGATGGCGAGCACGGCATCGACGATGTCGGGGGTAAGCTTCTCAGCGAGGGCACCGTTAAGCTTGGTGGAGAGGGAGGTACGGGCGACGGAAAGCAGCAGCTCTCGGTCAATGGGGCGCTCGAGCTTGAAGTTTTCAAGGAACTGGGGGTAATGTGTTAGATCCATCTCGAGATATGACTTTCAATCTCCATTACATACCTTCAAGGCCTCGGTCTTGGCAATCTCGTAGCCATCAGTGATGACACGGGGGTGCAGACCCTCTGAGATGTGACGTTCCGCCTGCTTCAAAAGCTCTCCCACCAGCAAAACGACAGATGTTGTTCCATCACCGGTAATATCATCTTGTGCGGTCGCAGCGCGAGCGATCATAACCTTTCAATTTCGTCAGCAACATGTAGGAGACTCTCGAGGCAATTTCGTCTTACAGCCGTGGGGTTTTGAATTTGCTGTTGAATGTTAGCTTAGAAGCTCCAAGTGCTGTGATTCTGGGGGCAGAACGAACCATTTCCCGCAACAAAACGTTTCCATCCTTGGTCAATTTGATCTATCATAGCAAGCCTGTATCAGAAAAGTGATGTTTTGTGCCGTTCAGGAGGAATCGGGGATTGCATACTGCGCCTGCACCATCAACCAGCCTAAGTTTGTCAGCTCCATTGCCTTTGTATGTGAGGTGTGTTCGTAAAAAAACTTACATCTTCAGAGTTCCCGAAGGACCCAGGTTGGACTTGAGAACATCTTGAAGGCCTTCACCGGCACCGATGTTCACCTTCAAGGCCTCTCCTCTCCGCTGCGTGAAATGTTAGTGTGCGGGCATATCATTGAGGGGCCATCTGGGAATATTTTCCATACCCTCGACTCCGCCTTGGGGTTAAGTAGTTGAGTTGCAGACATCTCCCAGGTAATGAATGACAGGGTATCACGTCCAATAACTCAAAAATATTAAATTAAGGGATGGTAGAGCGCTTGTTCCACGATAGGTCCGCGGCCAAAAAGCCCACATTCGAGCATCCATACGATCACGTGATTATATCAGCGGGACGGGTAAACGTCCACTCCGATACCTACCGTCATACCTCCGGTTCGGTGCCTTAGGATTCGCACTAGCGGCGAGAAAAAAAAATTGTCCATTTCCAGCCGTCGCCAACCTCACCAGCAACCCATCGAATTGCACTTTGCGAGGTTTTCTGGCCGGTGTTACAAGTTTTTATCATTATCTTGTGATTGACCTTGTATTGGCCCTAACACGATGGCCGATTTCCTACTTTTCGAGGGCCCTATGGGTTACTCGCTTTTCAAGGTCGCTCACCAAGGTGACTCTGTCGGCAATGCATTGAAGGAAGTCCAGGAGGGCGTCAATGACCTTGCTAAGTTCGGCAAGATGGTCGAGCTTTCCAGTTTCCTTCCCTTCGAGTACGCTTTATCTGTCTAAATGAAAAGGTTTTCATTTTTCATCGCCCACTAACAATTTATAGGAACAACAAGCAGGCTCTTGGAGAAATCAATGACATCTCCGAAGGTGTCGCATCCGAGACTCTTGTTTCTTTCCTTGAATTGAACCTCCCCAAGCCGAACAAGAAGAAGAAGGTGATTCTGGGTCTTGCCGACAAGGCTTTGGCAGGAAGCATCAAGTCCGCTTTCTCATTCGTGGACTGTGAGACTGGTGATACCAGCGAGGTCGTTCAGGATCTTCTCCGTGGTATCCGTCTCCACGCTGGCAAGCTTCTCAAGCAGCTGCGCGATGGTGACATGGACACTGCCCAGCTCGGTCTCGGTCACGCTTACTCCCGTGCTAAGGTAAAGTTCTCCGTCCAGCGTGACGACAACCACATCATCCAGGCCATCGCCATTCTGGATCAGCTCGACAAGGCCATCAACACCTTCTCCATGCGCGTTCGCGAATGGTACTCGTGGCACTTCCCCGAGCTCGTTAAGATTGTCTCCGAC